ATAAACAATTTGTTTGTGAAAAAATTTGAGAATACGGCAGGAAGAGAGAGTGATAGGTCTAAACACACTGATATATACACTTATATACACTTGAATAAGTTAACTGGTATATGCGGACATGGACATTTCAGAGGAACTGATCGATAGAGAGACACTTAAATTGGGATCTGAGAGACTGCAAAATATATGGACTGATATGAGTGAAAGATTGTCACATTCGATCAGTATATTAGTCGTTTGCAAGATTGGTTAGAATCAGAATGAATTAGAAACAGATCAAAGGAATCAATCGGTGAGCAGAAATGGAACGAATGGGTTTGGCGTAGGGAATATTGAACGATTCAAAGTTAACAAGTCCACGTTCTGTGTTCGTGCAATTTACGCCTATCCACGCGTATCAGATGATGATTAAACTGTCAAGCGACATTTGGGGGTATTTCAATAAACTCTGTCTTCGAAACAATTGCAATATGTAAGACTCATGGGGACTCATTTAACCCAGTGGTTCTCAGCCGTGGTGAATATGGCCCCCGGGGGGGTCCATGAAACATTACCGGGTGTCCGCACAAAATGTAGCCAACCGGGCATCCACGGCAATATTTTAGTGTGCCATTGAGGAATTTTTCTTCGCAACGGTTTTTGCAACTGATAATTGGAATTTCTACAGTGATCTAGAAGATATTAAAACAATACAAAAAAAAAAACAAATTGCAGAAAACAAGATGAAGCGATGTAAGGTAACGTCCATTTTACTCTCCAGGATTGTAAAAGTTTAATAAAAAATGAGAAGGAAGTAATGGATAGCGGCTGGGATTGAGGAATCGCAGAGCCGAGTTCCAATTCCAGTCGAATCCATTACATTCACTTACGTGCTAATACCCTTGAGAAAGGTATGAATGCTCTTTTTCTCCCTCCAGCTATGGGTAAAATAGCAGGACAGAGTGGGATCTATAGCCTTGGATGGCAACTGGTCTAGGAGAAGGACAACTCGGAATTCAAAACCTGCGGAGGGTCGTTTGGGAACCTTGTGACATTCAGTGCACCAGGTCTCTGTATTCGTCCATTCAAAAAGTGTGGATGGTCCTGCACGAAACCTTCATCACTATAATCAAATCTCATGTGCCGGTGTCGGGCTGTCGGTTTCCTGGAAACTGATTTGCTTGACCCTCATACGTCGAATCTCGACAGGAGATCCGATTAGATTATATATATATATATATATATATATATATATATATATATATATATATGTGTGTGTGTGTGTATATATATATATATATATATATATATATATATATATATATATATATATATATATATATATATATATATATATATATATATATATATGTATATACATATATATATAGGTGTGAGTGTGTGTAAAGGAAATTTATATAAAAATTATAATTTATGGTATAAATTAATTTAATATAGTAATAATAAATCATAATCTTAATTTGAAATAATAATAAAATATCAATAAGTTAATTAGTATAAAATACTTAAGAAATAAAATATTGATAATAAAATTAATTTAATATATAAATTATATAAGGATTATATGTGAAGAAAGAATATACATTTACTATTTAGATGATCCAATTTCTAAATTCATATATTAGTAAAAAATAAATTAAGCTTTTAAGAGTAAAAGTGGTCGATGGGTAAAAAAAAAACTATTGATTTAACCCGATATGCCAGGGACAAAACATTAATTAAAAAGATACCCGAACTCTAGGATTGAAATAATTTTTTAAAAAAATCTCAAATACACATATGTTTTCTAATTTCTAATGAATTATTGGATTATATTTTAATCCGATAATTTTTTAATTACTTATTAATTATCGAAAAGATAATCTGAAGGGGAATATATTCACTTCTTCGAAGTGTAACTGCATCTTGCTGGGTTTTGAAGTTTTCCGTAACCTAACTATCAACTCAATTTTCAATCCTGCAGGAGTAGACATATTTTCTTTATTAAGAGCCTAGAATGCACAGGATAGTAAGATTAATTCACACTGTACATTCCGAAATTATGTAACCGTTAATAAATAGCAAACACTTAAAAAAAAAATCTTTCGGTCTACAATACATTTGTTTACATCTTGGAAATTATCTGAAATGAAAAAACAAAACAAAAAAAAAGAAAAAAAAAAGCCTGATGATGAAAATGTGTTGATTTTCGTAAGTACTAGCAGCTACGGGCCATCTCATCCATCATACAATTTGAAACATAAGGATCGCGTCATTCAACAAGTGGTTAGTAAGTTAATGCTTTATTAAATTTGTTAGCGAAATGATTTCGCCATTAATTATATTAACTTTACTGATTAATTCTTTGTATAATTACTTTTTTTATATATATATATATATATATATATATATATATATATATATATATATATATATATTTTCTCTCTCTCTCTCTCTCTATATATATATATATATATATATATATATATATATATATACACACATATCTATCTATCTGTATATATATATATATATATATATATATATATATATATATATATTATAAAGAAGTAATTATAAATAAATGTAGATTCCTAAATTTTCGCTTGAGGATGAAACAGGGCTTGATACTTTAATTCAATTTAATTTTAATAATTATATTGAGGTTTTCGGCTCTCGTTTTTGAAACCTGACAACTCTTATGTAGCGAAGGAATCATATTTGTAAAAAAAATAATTATAATTTAAGCTCTACTTCTGTATGGAGCACTGTTTTTTTTTTAAATATAAACAAAAATACTAAAGAACTCCGGATTACTTACCTAACGTGTTCTTTCCTGTTTTTCTACATACCTGCACACACACACACACGTATATATATATATATATATATATATATATATATATATATATATAGAGAGAGAGAGAGAGAGAGATAGAGAGAGAGAGAGAGAGACAGATACATGAATAGAATGATACAGACATATACAATGATAGGTAGAAATAAGAGAGAGATATGCAATGACAAATGCAAATCAAAAGCGATGGAGATAAATATAAAAGAATACATTGAAATTAACAAAGAGAGAGGGTGAAAGTGTCTGGAAGAGACAGAGAAACAGATAGATACAGAATCCGAATGTACATATATGAACTGCAACATCATGAATATATATATATATATATATATATATATATATATATATAAATTTCAGCAAATTTGAATACCATGTACAAATAGAATATGACTTGGGTTTACGATACCATCCTTGTTGCACAGGTTTCAAGACATGCCGAAGAAGATGGCATATAGTAGGTGTCATGGTATGATTTCTGAAACGTTTCTATATCCCTGATATCTATTTAGTGCGCTTGCTCTTGAGCGAGGATTAGCAATTTTATTTTCAAAAGACAATAATGAGTTCGATTTTTAAATGTTGCTTAACGATATTGTTCCTATAGCAAACTGTAATCTAAGTGCAGCAATTACAAATATCTTGCGAGTTTTGTGTCATCATATTTTGCTTCCGAAGATCGTGATTGGTGTTTGAAAAACATGATAATATAAGGGGATCGAAGGCTGATTTTTCAAAAAGCTAAAAAATACGCCGGTTCTTCTCGTCTTATGGACGTATTTTACTTTTGTATTTTTCTTTCCTTCGGACTCGTTTTCCTGGTTTTTGTTGTTGGCAATTTATCACAACGTTTCAGCTCTAACCTTCAAACTGTAACTTTCAATCTTCGACGTTCCCTGAACGTGACCAGAAAAATAAATTCAGCGGGTTCATCAAAAGGGTATAAGTTCACTGCGGAGAACAAATCCGGGAGTTCGTGGGCCCAGGCACCGGACGTGACGTGTATGGAACGGGAAACGCATGCTTCCCCGGAAACAAGATTCGACATTCGAAAACGTAACATACAGCCGAAGAATACCAGGGAAAAAATTGGCAGAAAGGTTATGAAAAAAAAAAAAAAAAAGAAAGAAAGAAAGAAAGAAAATAATAAACGGGTAAAAGAGACCGAAGGAAAGGATATAAGATTTTAGACTGTCTCTTGTGTTTTAGTAAGACATAAACGACTCCATCTTGAATGTTCCTGGAACATAATAAAAGTTGTACTAAGCCATGTTTACGAAAATATTCAACTCTAATATTAAGAATACTGTTTTCAAGCAAGTCCATTCTTATTTACAAATAGAAACCACACAAATGTACGCGCACCTCCAGTTTGGCCTTGTGTCAGACTATGCTTATTTATACCTTTAAATGTTATTAAATCGTTCAACCGTTGGGTATATATTTCTTTATTTCTTTCGGTTTGCCATTAACAATAGAGATTCATCATATTAAATAACTGATCCCCACGGGATATGGTGATTGGCAAATAAAAAGCAACCAATCGGATAATTGATCTGTGGCCATTTATAAGTTCTCAAATGTCGAATGATGTTTTGAATAGAGTCTGAAGTCGCAAAATGACATTCCGCAAGTGTGTAGTCGGCATTGATGTCAGATAAAAAAATGACACTCTGTTGCTTACTTCAATGATGGTGCTGTTCAAAAGACAAGTAATACGAAACAGGAAGTTATCTTTATTTTTTACGCAACTATGTTTTTGAATTAATAAGTACATTTAATATTTAATGCATTATTAGTGAGTTGATATCTGCCGATTGTTCTCGAGTTTACCATATCGATCTATAAATTCTAGTCTCTTTACATCTCTCTTCTCAGTTTGTTCATTATCTATCTATCTATCTGATATGTCCCTGAAAGGGATATATCTGAACGAAGTAGCTAAGTGGTTTTGGCTACTATAACCAAGTAGAATACGGTAGCAGTAATCAACTGGTACGCGTCGTAGTCGCATGGTAAGAAGTGTAGATCAATGGCAGAGTCCAATAGGCGTCGTTATAGACTTAGCTCTCAGACTAAGGCTCTTGACTTTGTCGTACCTACACGTCCGTCGGTATTTATGACGGACACCAGCCAACCATATTCCAGTAAGGGGGAACACAGGTTAATGCATATTCCATTATGTCACTATCTATCTATCTATCTATCTATCTATCTATCTATCTATCTATCTATCTATCGATCGATCGATCGATCGATCGATCTGAGTCTGCTCATATATCATCCTATTTCTTTTCTTCGCACAAATAATCTATTTAGACTGAGATATATATTCATCTCTCTTTCTCTCCCTCCCTCTCTCACTCTTTTATATATATATATATATATATATATATACTCCACTGTTCATATCTATCTATCTATCTATCTATCTATCTATCTATCTATCTATCTATCTATCTATCTATATATCTATCTGTGTGTGTATGTATGCATGTATGCACGTATATATGTATGTATGTATTTTATGGTCACATGACCTATTGGTTCGAAAGTTCGCATTCTGACAATGAGACCCGTGTGCGAATCTCACCATGTTCGATTTGTCAGGGAGGAGACTTCCTTATGTTATTGGATTGGATGGGTGAAAACCAGCGTGCGGCACCTTTAGAAAGTGCCTGAAAAACCATACCATGAGTTGACTCAAGCCTTGTGCGGGAAATTGGGTAGACGAAACTGTTGGGTGCCGTCGATAGCTGTGCGAGCACGAAGTCACAAGTCATCGTGACCGAGGGCTTGAGCCTGCTGACCTTGTTCAAATTGTTGGTCACGCTAGATAACACGCTCTCTCCCAGAAACTGTAACTAAGGTCTGCTCAGTATAGTTGCAATATAAACCACAGGTGGGCTCTGTGGGTGTTGAAAAGACAAAAATGCGCCTGAGCAAGCGTCTACAATAGGGATTTGCTAGCCGCCCTAATAGACAGTTATCCTCGAATACGAGTGACCAGCTGTGTATGTATGTATGTATGTATCTATTTATCTATCGATCTATCTATCTATCTCAGTCTGTTCATGTATTATCTTATTTCTTTTTGTTCACACACACAATCTATCTAGGCCAGGGGTTTTCAAACTGTGGTCCGCCGATCACAGGGGGTTCGCAAGGACAAGATAGGGGGTCCGTGAACAGCAAAGACTTTTTTTATGGGTGACGTGCAACTTATAAGCGCTTATAAGTAACTTATAGGCCGATCATGAAATAAATTGATTCAATAAACTATTTCATAGATTTGATATACTAATATAATTTATATCTTAAATTGATAAAGATAATGGATTCTATTCATGCAGAGAAGAAACTAAAGGATTTGAATTTTGGATCTATTTTGCGATTTCCGGCTTTCTCATTGGCTGTTAGGCGTCACGTGTGCAAATCTTCAAACGGGAGACATTTTGCGAGTAGAAGTGCAAACGGCTGTTGGACGAGTAAGCAAGTAAGCTCTGAATTTTTTATTAGTATATTGTTTTCATAGCAATTAACAGTAAGCGTTCCATGTTGTCTACAGCCACTGAAAGAGTCAATACAGTATTTCGAGTTCTTTTTAGCAATACGCGCACAATCGAAACCAGATAGGCTTTTTTTAGTATTGTTACATTTTGAGTTTGTTGTAAACGTCAGGCGTTTTAGAATCAATTTAATTAAGGAGGATATGTGAATAAAGTGTATGATACCACTATTCTAGGCATGGCCATTTATAAGTATAAGTAAAATCAGCTTTAAAATAATTTGTAAATATAGGGTTGTCATATAATTTTTCCAAACATAGCGATATTGCTTATTCATCCTGTATTTATTAAACAAATTCACAAAAGAAAAGCATAAAAGTCATACAAAACAGTCGCTATTTTACTCATGGATAAATTTTTGAAACGGAACCTTATGATGAAATCAACTCAGAATCCGTTACAGAGACAGAAGAGATTGTTCAGAAAAACAAATTAAGAAAATATGATGTGGATTATATTCGATTTGGATTCATTGAAAGTGTGTCTAATGCTAACAGACCACAGTGTTTACTTTGTCATAAGCTGTTGTCGAATGAAGCCCTGAAACCAGCTAAATTGCAGCGACATTTAACAAAACACTACATCCAAAAGATTTCTTTGAAAGAAAACGGGATGCATATTTAAAGCAGAAAGCAAATTTTACAATATCAATAACATCAAATCATAAACTATTACGGGCATCTTATTTAGTGGCACCGAGAGTGTCTCGTGCTATGAAGTCCCATAATATTACTGAAAAACTTGTTTGGCCCTTTTCTTGTTTGGACTCTTTTCTTCTTCACTCAGGCTTGTTATGGAGCCAGTGTATTGGCATATATACAGATGGGGCGGCGTCAATGACTGGTATTCACTCAGGTGTTGTGGGGCCATGTTAATTAATGTTGATTTGATAATTGTAGATGTTAAACGACATTTAATATCACTTGATGAATATTTTGACAAATATTTCTCGAAAGATGTTCCTGATAATATTGAAAATTTTGACTGGATCAGAAATCCGTTTAATGTTGAAATAGCTAATAGCATGTTCACAGGAAATGAACTGGAAGAACTGGTGGACATTTCATGCGACAGAACTTTAAAAATCAGTTTTGTGCAGCAACAACTTTCGAAATTCTGGCTCATTGTAGTCTCCGAGAAGCCATTGTTATCTCGAAAGGCAGTTAAGATTTTGTTACCGTTTGCAACAACATATTTATGCGAAGCAGGATTTTCGGCACTAACCAATCTGAAAAACAAATACAGATCCAGACTTGCTCCAGAAAGTGACTTATATGTATGTTTATCAGTAATATCGCCAAGAATTGACGGTTTGTGCAAAGCCAAGCAAGCACGTCCTTCTCACTAAGTGTGTATTAAAAAATCCTGTGTGTGTAATTGACAATAAAACTATTTGTTAAATACTATTACTGTTTTCATTTAATTAATATTTTAATATAAAAAAAAAAATAATTTTGTTATATTTTGCAGCAACATGCAGCATTAATTTATTTGAACACTTATGTCTAAAGTGAACTTTAAACCAGCTTTTATTGCATTAATGCAAAATTATATGTTATATTCAGCAAATATTTATGTATAAATTTCATAAGCGTTTATAAGGAGGTCCCTAAGGTAAAGCCTGAAATATAAAGGGGTCCACAAGTCAAAAAGTTTGAAACCACCTGATCTAGACAGAGATACATCTATCTATCTATCTATCTATCTATCTATCTATCTATCTATCTATCTATCTATGTCACAATAATCTGTTATTATCTTTCTACATCTCAGGTGAAATAAATATAAAATAATTAATTATCAAATCCGAAAAAAGAATTACTTATCTGTTAACTCAGAATCAAATTTTCAAAATCCAAAATCAGTTCTCCCCAATAAATTCTACAATTTACTCAGTCTTGTAAGACTCAAATTGTATCGCTCTTAAAATAAAAGCCGGAATGTTATTTGTTTTGTTTCTCGTTTCCAAAATGTTGCATTGGAAGTGTGATCCGGATATTTGCCATGGGAAAAGCGAAACTCCAACAGATGTGCTTCAAAGAATTTCATTCATGTGGAACATTTTGAAATTGAGAAATTCTCTTGGCAATAAACAACTTGACACCTTCCAAGCAAAATTACAGGTTTTTGTACCTACAACGTATTTCTGAAATATTTATAATACATATGCTTTGTGGAAAATATGTATGGCAAAATTTCAGACAATGGCGACACAGCTAGAATCGATCCTTTTCAAAATTTAATCATTTTCTTCACATTTTCTTTTGTGAATTGTTGCCTTCATGTAAAAAAAAGAAAATAGTGTCTGTTTTTGGTAAAAGACAAGACTAGAGAAGATATATTATTATTTCATTTTTAATATCTTGATTAAATGACTATATTTCTGAGATGGGGTATTATGTACACTATTTATATTATTCGGACTATTGTCCTCATCTTTGTCACGATATTTATTACAATGTTTAGGAGGTTGTACGCTTCAGCCTTCTTCAGGTGGTTGGAATGTCGAACTGAACACTTTATTTCGCTCAATGGGGTACACTGTTCTAGTTCCACGTGCCATGTCTAATGGATGACAGTTATCTCCTGTTAATTCCCCTCTCCACCGCCTTAACCAGCTAATTGAACTCACACTCTTTACAAAAAGAAATAGAAAGTGGGGACAGGCCGCGCCCTTAAAGTTATGCTTCAAGAACACCAGAAAGATGTAACACGAGGGGAAGTGCAAAACTAGGCATGGCTGGCTACATATGGAGAGAAAAGGGAGATCACCGCCCACTGTGGGATCAGGTTGAGATTATAGACAAAGAACACCATTGGAAAATTCGTAAACTTAAGGAATCAGCACATATGTTAGGCCACAAAAATCTCCCGAGCCGACCAAGCATAGAAATGAATACAATATGGGAACCAGTAATAAGGAACGCCAGAGAAAAGCGACAATAACAACACAAAAATGCAATATGAGCTCAGGTAAAAACATGCGTTGATAACAGCAAAAATTGCAATAAAAGCACTGGTAAAAATAGTTACTGAAGACATTAGGTTTATAATACCCAGAAATTCATACACAGATGTTCTCAAGGACACATGGCACAATGGATAAAGGCGTTAGTTAGATCCGGTGAGAATTCAATACCTGGTTAAGGGAGTGGAGAACTTGAAGAGGGAAATTAACGCCGACATGTTGTAATAAATATGGCGACAAAGATGAGGACAATAGTCCGAATAATGTAAATAGTGTTTCTTGATTAACTTTTAAATTCTTTCGACAAAGTTTTTTTTCACTCAGTTTATACTCTAAACCATTAAATATTCAGTATTACGTCTACTAGGCATTGTCTTTGGAAAGGCATAAAAGGCATCTGCAATCTGTGCTATTCCTCATCGTCAGAAAAAAAATGTTCCTCCTCCAACATATAAAGAAGAGCGATGAAATAAACAGACGATTTGGGAAGAATAATAATTTAAAATAATTTTAGTTATTATATACACCATCGGCTTGATAGTGTTAGAGGATTACGGCCACAATACGTTAAGCAAAGCCGAGGATTGTTAGTACGTGTAACCGCTTGGAAATACCACACGCCGTAGCCTTGGATGTACGGGTGGTCTAATGGATAATGGCACAGAATTGTTAATCAGAGATTCGAGATCTAATTCCGGTTGCGTTAATGAGATTCACTTAGGCGCAAATGCCTTTCAGAAACGTATGAATCAAACTCTACTCCCTCAGCTATGGGTTAATTAGTAAGACGTTTAGCACTAAACTATTATTATCGCTAAACCATACTTACACTCTAAAAATAGTACCCGGCTTTAAATAACCAGAAAATGTTTAAGAAGTAGAAAACGAATCAAACCAATCGATAAGAGTGGCAGAATCTCTATTTCTTTTTATGCTACATCAATAATGAAAAAAAACATGTTCATGCCTCCCCACATATCCTTTATATTTCTTGTCTACGAAGGGTCATACAGAAAGCATATGTAAATCACTAGCGGGTCTTAAATACCACTTAAATTATCGCACAAACTTTCATCAATAAGCTGTCAGATTCTCATACGTCGAAACCGACAGGGGAGTCCATAATATATATATATATATATATATATATGTATGTATGTATGTATGTATGTATATGTATATATATATATATAATGTTAATGTCATGAATGTTAAAAGATTCATGTTAAAAAAAAATAATAATAAAAAAACAAATGAAAACTACAGACAAAAGTTCATTTTCTCCATCAAGACATTCATTTCTGTAGTTTACTGCTACCAGCAATCAGAAATATTTCTTCTCCTGATGATGGCCATTTTGGCTGAAGCTAGTCGAGGAATCTAAATGAAATAATAATAAAAAAAAAACGAAAGAATATTAATCTACAACCCAGTGTGTCTGAATATTTTAATTTTTTAATATTTTTTTATTGCTCAATATATATCTATATCTATCTATCTATATATATATATATATATATATATATATATATATATATATGTATATGTGTGTGTGTGTGTGTGTGTGTGTGTGTGTGTGTGCATGCGAGTGTACTAAAAACAAGCAATGTTGGTGTGACCAAGAGACAATTTGCCATACCTTAAACGAGAATGAAATTTTCGAACAAGTCAACTAAATAGAAAGAACAAATGGCAACTACCTATCTAATCAGTAAGTTATATTTCTCAACGCCTAAAATATCTAGACAGAGTAAAAATCCTTTCAAAATGTCAACATCCAATAAAAGTGAGCTGGAGCAATCTTCAGATGACTAGAATGGTAAATGAAAGATGGAGGTACCTAGAATTTATACGCAATAACGTAACATTCGCTAATCTCTAAAGAAATATATGGTTAATTTATTTATAATTCCGATATATTTTATTACTTAAACCTTATTTTTAATCGATACCCGCATTTGAGTAGACATTCTGTTTATTTCTTTAATAGTATATTTATTTCTGGCAATCGACCTGAATTTTCTATAAAGATTACCAGAGAAAAGGGCTGTTGGCAGGATTCGAACTTGCGTTCCCCTAGGGGGAAACCGTCTTTAAATCTAAGGTGCTTTTGAACTCTCATCCACGGAATGTCGATGATCAAGCAAAGTTGAATTGTGCTTCTAACCACAGTTTTTGCTTTGACTCTCGAAAAGGCATATGCGCTCCGGTTCGTATCCTAACGTAAACAAAGCAATTTCGAAAGAAAGGAATGTATTTTTTCATTTATTAATCCGATAGATTTTATAACTTGAACGTTATTTTTAGTTGACAAGCGTATTTAGGTAAACGCTCCGATTTTTATTAAACAGTATATTTATTTATTTTTGTCTATCGGCCTAAATATTCAATAAATATTATTAGATAAATGCATGCGCTCTCCCTCAGAAGTCTAATCTGGGCAGCCATGGGCAACCTTTTTGAGAGTGCGTCTTAAACCGGTCAAATCTCTGACACAAAAGTTTTTCATGTGCCAACAAAAAAAAAAAAATTGAGAACATATCATTTGATATCTCTTTAAGGATGTGAAGACATTTTTTAAATGATAAAAAATCACCCCAGAGCAGTAAAAACTCGGTATTGTAAGAAATTATGTAAATCATGTAAAACTGACTGAATGGAAAAAAAATGATGACAGGTTTTTAGGGAAAAAGTTTTTTTGTGATATATTTATTAGCCTGTAAGTATAAATAAATTTAACTGGCATATATGCGTTTGGAACTTTTTGTAAATTTTTTAACTTCACACAAAGTAAGAAAGGTACGTTGCTTTAAGAATTAGCGATCTAATAATAATAATAATAATAATAATAATAATAATTCCTCCTCCTTCTTCTTCTTCTTCTTCTTCTTCTTCTTCTTCTTCTTCTTCGTCGTCGTCGTCGTCGTCACTCTGCGTGCCAAACCGGCCAAATCTCTAACACAAAATCATTCCCATTACCAACAAAACGGTATTGTAAGAAATTGTGTAAATCACGTAAAACTTACTGAATGAAAAAAAATATGACAGGTTTTCAAGGCAAAGTTTTTGTGATATTTTTATTAGCCTGTTAGAGAAGGTAGCAAAGGAGAGCGAGAAGAAGGGACTAAATATAAACTACAAAAAGACCCAATGCATGGTCATTCTTAAAAAAAAGATAAGCCCGAAATGCAATTTACAGTTCGGGGACACTAAAATCAATCAGGTGCGGAAGGTTAAATATCTGGGGAAGTGTTTTGACCGAGGACGGTAAATGCGACACTGAGATCCGTAGATGCATTGGGATGGCCAAGGACGGATTCGAAAAGCTGGGCAGAGTATTGCGACACAGGGGGGATTTCTTTGGCAACAAAGAAAAGAGTATTGTTCTGTTACGTGACATCTGTCCTTTTTTACGGCAACCAATGTTTAACGGTCATCTAAAAGATGATGAAGACACTCGGGGCGACGGAGATATGGTTCTACATGAGGATGCTGAGGATATTATGGGCCGAGCGTGTAAGAAACGATGAAGTCTTAGAGAAGGTGAAAATAAGGAAGAGTCTTTTATTTAACACCAGGAAGCAGAAGCTGAAGTGTCGGGGACATGTAATGAAAAAGTAACAGCCATACATACTCACCCAATGTAAAAACACGATTAAATATTATTAGCAGAAATTTAATGCTGTTATCTTTGCCAGTTATACATTTTTATGAAACACAGTAAAAATGTATTAAAAATAATCTTTTGCTGATTTTAAATCCCTTATAAATGATTTATAAAAAAAAAAAGGAAAACAAAACATTTATTTACCATCAAAATTACATTTAAACAAACCTGGGCATTTGCGATTTTCAAAAGACAACACAAATAAAAATAGAGACAGAAAACTTGTTGACTCTTTTTATATATTATCAGTTAGACTTCTGCTAACAGAGGTTTTATATCGGGTTTATATCTAGTAACCTTAAGAGATATGCATGCACTACTTGTTTTATTCGTCGGTCTACCCCTATTACGAGATTTCACAGTGTTCATTACTGAAAACAGAGATTCACAAACATATGTAGATGAAAACATGGATAGTAATGCTGTTGTAAATATATATTGTTTTAATCAGACAATATTTTCTGGAATGGTATTCCAAGTCCTTAATACTTCATTTTCTCATTTTTCTCTGATATTCCCATCTCTAATCGGCCCTTTTCAATATTTTCAAAAGTCAAATCTAAGGTCAACAATTTTCTGCTTCCAAATTGAGCTACTCTGAAATTCAGTTGATTATATTTCAAAATCACCATGACTATCCATGAAAACATTTGCAAGTTTAGTTCCTCCAGTTTGATATTGTCTGGAAACTTAATGAATTTTTCTGTCTCTTCCAGTTCTCAAATCTTGTAAAGACCTGCTCAGCAGTTTATTTGATGATGTTGACAAACAGCTTTTCAAGACATAGACGGTCTGTTCTGGCACCTTTTGGGAGATCTTTGTTATTACCTCTTTAGGTTTAGGAAGTATCTAAATCTCTCATTATCTACATCCTTCATAAAACACTTTTAGTTTCATTTGAAAAGCCTTTATGTGACCAAACATAACATTAAGTGTCTTACCAGAGCCCTGAAATTTAATATTCAAGTCATTTAAATATTCACGAAAATCTGCAAAAAGCATCAGTTTACAAACCCACATGATATCGAGTGATTCTTGAGAATACACGTGTTGGTCATTCAAAAACAGCTTTATTTCATGTAAGCATTCAAGAAATCGTTTCAGAATCAAACGTGTCTAAACCAACGAACATTGATGTAAATTTTCAGTCCTTTATATACAGTTTCTACCTCATTCAGTAAAATCTAAAATTGTCTTATTTAAAGTCCAAGCAGAAATGGAATTAACGACCTTCATAACTATTTGGAGTCGTTCAACTTCCTTTCGGCCAGCTTTCGCACACAAAGCCTCCTAATGTATAATACAATGAAAACCTATCAGTGAATGACAAACATCTTTTTGCAAAAAGATTTACAAATCCTGTCTTCTCACCAGTCGTGCAGGGGGGCAACATCTGTTGTGGCAGATACTTCTTTTGAAATGTGAATTTGTCTTGTAGATGATTCGTTCACAACTGCTTTACATCCCTAGTATTACGCTCGGGTAGTGTTACAAGGGCAACTATCTCTTCACATACTTCATCACCCCTACAAAATCGGGAGAATATGGTTAGCCTAGCTGATGATGTAATGTCCGTATTTCATCAAAAGAAATAGAAAAACGTACTTGAAAACAAATCATTTGTCACTTGTTCATCTGTATTCCTTTCCAGCTTAACTATCCTATTCTTAACTGTTTTCCTACTCACAGACAAATCTTTCATGCACTGAATAATCGTTTCCAATTCTGAAAAAATGTCAAAAAGTATAGGCGCTTATTTAATATACTCTTCATCATTGAGTGTCTTCTTTCCATGTTGGGAAATAGCTTTTGAAACCGAAAAATTTGCAGCAACTAAGTTGGAACTGTGCCTACCTGAAATAAATTTGCTAAAATTATTAGCATCTTTTTTGCCTTGCTCAGTTCACGATAAATAAATCCTCTTTGTTCCTGCTACGTAAATTCTTATGAACATTTTTTAATGTCTCTTTTATAGAAGTGTTATGGGACCTTACCCATAGCAACATAATGGACTATTCCATACGTAATAAATACTGCGCCTCAAGAGGAAGCAGGGAATTCAGCCCGAAGTCAGGCGACCGGTTGACCGGCTGATCGCTTAAACTCTCTGCTTTCCGACGAGGAGGAACCCGAACGAGGCTACGCCGAAGGGCGGAGTCTCTTTCGGGGGTGGGGGGGTAAACCGACTATGAACCCGTTTATACGGATTCAAAGGGCATATTTTTGGCCGAGCCCACTGGCTCGGAGATCCCACGGACTCGGAGATCCCACGGGCTCGGAGATCCCACGTTAAACCGGCCTTGTGTACACATGATGCCCTCGTGGGGGGGTGACTAAATACTGTTCAGTCCGATGTCAGGCGACCGGCTGACGGGCTGATCGGTTGAACTCTCTGCCTTCGGGCGGGGAGGAAACCGAACGAGGCTACGCCGAAGGGTGGATTCTCTTTCGGGGAGGTAAACCGACCCTGAATCCGTTTATACGGGTTCAAAGGGCATATTTTTGGCCTAGTCCACGGGCTCGGAGATCCCACGTTAAACCGGCCTTGTGCCACATGATGCTTTCGTGGTGGGGACTCAATACTGTTCAGTCTGAAGTGTGTCAGTCAGTCAGAGCGAGCGAGTCAGTCAGGAGTCAGAGGCAGTCCGAAATAGTCGTGTTCAGACAATTACTACTAAATCTGATTGTTCGTACTTACACTTTCTTCTTCTCTGTATATATTCCTGCTTGTAATATATCTGTGTTATTCCATATCCGTGTTCGAGTTCTTCTTTATTGTTTCCAACTTGGACTATCTCCGTGTTACAAGGAACTGGACCATAACAAGAAGATAACCTACAAACGATTGTTCAGAACAGAAAATGAATAGGTATTATTGTCTTTATTAATCATGCTAAATTTTTTAGATCAATGTTTTCTTTAAATTCTCTAATATCATATTTATTTGAATGACATTGTTTCTTAGCTGATCAACTTGACATTCTTCCTAATGTGTAACGGGGAAAACTACATAAGATAATGATATACATGAAAGAAGGGAAAGAATAAAATAAGTCAAATAGGGAATCTAATGATTAAGTTTCGCGTACCACAAACAAATCATCGCCGTGCCATGTTTGACATGCGTACCAATGATTACGCACACTTGGACTAAGGGAAATTGCCATTAGATTGGACTTGATTTGGAATTCTCGGTCACCGTGTGCATCAATGGCCAAGAAAAGTTGAATAGTTTTTCTCGAATGTTCCGGCCGGTAGACAAAAATAAATATAGTGTTTAATAAATAAACAGAACGTCTACTCAAATACGAGTATCCAATGAAAATAATTTTTGGGTAATAAGATTTCTTAATCTATTTCATCACAGAAAATATAAGAAAAAAAAACTGCATATGTCCTGCCCACAAAAAAAGCATCAAATAACCAGAGAAAAAATACGTGGTAAGCCTAACTAACCAAGACTACAATTCTAATTGGGTTAGAGAAAATGAAAGGAAAAAAAAAACCCTGAAGAGACACTAGTCAGCCGGCAGGAGGCACAATACGTGCTTTATACCCTGTCTACATCTCGTGGTAAAACCTGACTCTTTAGTATCGATGATCATTCTAGTATTGATGTTCAAACTTAATACTGCAAAATTTACTTCTAGTAAATTCTTTTTTCGCTAGTATTTTTGCACGTACGGCTTTCCTACTATATATACATTTGTATATACAGTTTGGCGTAGATAAATCCGTAATTTATATGTGGCAACAGCACAGTGACGTCACAGCTTAGCGAGGCTTTGATAGGGCAGTTAGAAAGTACTGCATCTCAGTAGGTGTCTAGCCATTGACGCATAAGATGTTTAGTAATCGACATGTCCTCAGAATACGATCGTCGAGGTGCTGTTGTAGAGAGCCTTCGCGCCGTCCACAAAGAAATCATTGAATGGTTTAAATAGCTTAAAATCATGGTATATGTCCTTGTGACCTCAAATGATAATATTCAGATAAATATAAAGGTACGTACCTGTTCATTGTCATTATTACTTTTAGAAAACTGATCGATAGTTTTGCAAAGGCCAAAAACAATAATTAATCATGGACAAAATAAACCAATTGTGGCAAACTTTTCTAACCTACAATCTCTAATGCAGACATTTAATTCATAAGACTTCATTCAATAAATAGGTGGAAGTGTGAATTAGGTTTCAAGCGTTTCTAGGAAAATTTCCATATCCGGTTCAAAATTTCTGACCGAGAGAACCAAAGAGGCTGTTTTATTGGACGACAGCCAAGTCAAAAGGAATGTGTTAACGGCCGAATGCAGCGAAAAAGAAAAGGTCACAGTTGACTCTTTATTAAATCAGCATGCGCCGAATAATTTGCAGACAGTTACGTCTCTTTTACATTGGCCAATGTAAAGATTAACAACTTATATTATCATCAATTCTTGAGTATTACATAAGTTGCTTTTAACTTATATTTGTAGATATTGCTGACAGATATATGGTATAACTCGCAAATGTCGTTATCTGTGATAGCTCGAAGTCTTAAGTCATCGGGACCGATCATGATAGATAACCTGCTCTCTCGCAGAAATTGTATCTAAGATCAGCTCAGCCTAGTTGCAGTAAAAACCACAGGTTGGGCCTCTGGGTGTTGAACAAACACAAATGCGCAAAGGATTGGCTAGCCGCAGGTATAGACAGGTAACCTCAAATAGGAGTGGCCAGCTATTTTATATATATATATATATATATATATATATATATAAAGTAATGATTCAATATGGTAAACCGCATGGAATTTCAAGGAAGATATAGATCCAAGTTGAGCTCTATGTCAAATATATATATATATATATATATATATATATATATATATATATATATATATATATATATATATGCAGGGTGACCAAAAAAGGAATTTTTGAAGTGCGTATTGCCAGACTTGAGCAAGTGGCAACACTGCGAGACAGTGACCTTGAGCAAGTAAACATTTCACCATTTAGAATTCAAGATGAAATTCACAGTATCCCAGCTGAGATGTTGCAGCAGTCAAAGAGGAAGCTCAACAGCAGATTTCAAGAATGCATTCGTACAGGAGGACGCCATCTACAGGACGTAATTTTTCAATAATTAAAATTACATCGTTGTTTCTTAAATGGCATATTGTAAGGTTTCAATTACTATGAATAAAATATTTTTCTTCCATCAGTCTTGGTTTTATTGGATTGTTAAATGTTCCGGTTTTTTTGGGTCAAACTATATATATATATATATATATATATATATATATATATTACATGAATAATTCATACAAAAAGAAACATATTTAAAAGTTAATGATATAAATGGCGAGAATACATCTTCGCAAACATTAAATAAAGTACATTAACCCCGAACCTGTAGATGAATGTTATAATCCCTGTTTAGACATTCTAGTTGCATAAGGTCTTTTTTTTACAAGCTTTCGTCTGTTCATAAAGACATCATCAGTTATGGAAATAGATTTGATTTTGTTTTTTACTTCTCGGCAATAATAGGACAACTAAAATATAGATGTAATCCGAAATATGTTTTAAGAAATGTGCTACGTTGAATTTTTAAATTTTAAGATTGTGCGTTTTTGTAGTAATAGGAGAATTCTTTTGTACTGGTAGGTTTTTCAGTCAATGTGACATAAACTAAATTGTTCAATAAATACAGGAATGGCACAGTTATTATCCGAAAGTTGCACGTTGGATCAGTTATTTTAATATCAAGTATGTGGTGCAGTTCAATTTACATTACATGAATCATTCATACAAAAAAATTATATTTTATTAATAAAGTCAAAAGAAAAAATGTTATAATTGCCTAAAGGTGTTTCCTCTAAAAATGTCCATCAGAGGAAGAAACGCTTCGACGAAAATAATTTTTTCGTTTTGTCTTTATATATATATATATATATATATATATATATATATATATATATATATATATATATATATATATATATAATTTAAAACAAGAGGATGCTTCAGCATAAGCCTCTTTCTTGTTAATGTAAATTTCCTTTATACGAACATTTTTTGTCGACAATATTGTTAAATTTTCTTTTTTTTTAAATTTGGATTTTGTAATGTAACAATAACAACAAAAACATTTCGATTTCATTTTTAGCTTTGAAAAAGTCGGAAGACGAAACACGTCGGCAAAAAAAAATTAAGATCTTTTCCAGTTGTCATCTTATATGATTTTGCCTTGACCAAACAATTGATCTGGGATATATATATATATATATATATATATATATATATATATATATATATATATATATATATAATCTGATTGTGTTTATGTTGTTTTTGCGCGTGAGTTTAAGACCACATTCACACACTTTAGAATAAAAAATATATATACATATATTGTCAAATGACCGGATATATTGTAGCGTCTTGTCGAACGTAATTTCAACGAAGAAATAAATTGAATAACATATGTATTTTTTCTTTGCTCAATAATTTTATAGTTTTTAAACTTGATAGCGATTAAATTTGGATTTTAAAATTGGCAGGTTTAATTTTAATATTAAATTTTATCATATAATTTTATAATTGTTCGTTAGTAAAAACTCTTTTTAATATTACCCGAATTTTAAAGATCTGAATAGCTATTATAATATGATTTCGTTGTCAAGCTTTTGAATCTTCCTATACTTGGATTTTGATTGGTTATTCTAGCTTTTGTAACAATGTTTCCCCCTAGTGAATGATCTTTAATTAATTTGAAACTTTTAAAACCATTTATTTTATCTTCAACAACATTACTTGATAAGACACCGAGGGTGTTGAAACAAAATGGTTATTTTGTAGTGATTTTATAACATATTTATGTTATATTTTTTTATAAATAATAATTATATATATATATATATATATATATATATATATATATATATATATATATATATATGAGGTGGTGTTGCAAATTAATCATTATCCTCTGTTTTTATGTATATAGATACACGCTTCCAGAAGTAACATACATTAAGATGCCTTATCTAATTTTATGTAATTTGTTTAGCAGATGCACGAGGCGTGTAAAGTGTCTGTTCCAATGTAGTTTATTGTTGACTTCAGCGTTTCTTTCGTGTCCTTTCATGGATCATCTTGTTTTCTGATGGATGGCCTACCAAAAGTCGGTAACAAGAAGAATCCTCAAGCAAGGAAATATTCAGCGCTATTTCGAAACAATGGAAAGAATTGCAACTATTGTGCAGACGAGAGCCCTTATCTGTCCATTGGTTTTTAAGGAGATGTTATTCTTCGGGGAACCAAAGAATATTAGACTTTGCCTGCTGAGGATGGCTAAACGGGGTGAGGACATAGGAAGAAGTCAGTCAATGGAAAATATAAGAAAAATATTTGTTTGAAATATGAAAACAATAATGACAAGTAATCTCTTGGACAATTCAAAAAAAAGATTTTCTATGGATTGAAGGAAACGAGATTTAATTCCAATAAAAAATAAAAATGGAATAAACGAAAAATCTATCTATCTATCTATAAATCTATCTATCTATCTATCTATCTATCTATCTATCTATCTGTTTCTAGGTTTATATCTATCTATCTATCTATCTATCTATCAATCTATCGATATGACTCATTACTTCATTTTCTTCACACACACAGACATAAACATGCACAATCTATCTAAGTCTCTTCATATCTATCTATCTATCTATCTATCTATCTATCTATCTATCTATCTATCTATCTATCTATCTCAGTCTGTTTATCAATTTGAAATATCAAATATATATATAAATAAATAAATACTTTCATAAAATAAAACATTATAATTTTCAATTTGAAACTTTTTATATATATATATATATATATATATATATATATATATATATTTATCTCCCAGACTGTTCATATTTATCTATCTCAACTTGTTCATATCTATCTATCTATCTATCTATCTATCTATCTATCTATGACTTAACATATATATTGGTTCATATGTATGTATTTATGTGAACCATCCCTTTCTCTTCCTATCTTTTATCAACCACAAACTTGCATGCATGCAAACACACAGATATATATATATATATATATATATATATATTGCAATCCGATAAAATGAATTTAATATCTATCTATCTATCTATCTATCTATCTATCTATCTATGCCTGTTCATTCTTTTTCAGTCTTTTCATATATATCTAGTTTTATATATATATATATATATATATATATATATATATATATATATATATATATATATATATATAACTAACAAATAGACAAACTTAAGGTTCCATGACTATCCTGATGTACCAGGAAAAATATTTTCTGGGGAAATAAATTATAGTCAGGGAACTCCGGGAGACTTAAGATTGTCTCTTTCTTAATTATTTAATCAGTATATATATATATATATATATTTAAATGCATAAATTCCCAAGATGATAGAATCCAGGTAGAACTCAACGTCCTGAACAGAGTAAGAATATAATATAAAAGGCAAATCATTAATATTCCATGGTTATAATTTATTACATTGGAATCGTCATCACGATCCAATTCATCAGACCTACAAATTTAAAATCTTGAATTTGAAGTTCTGATTGATTGGATCGTGATTAGAATTATAACCTTGCAATATTAGTCTTTGAGCCTTATCTATCTATCTATCTATCTATCTCTCTCTCTCTCTATATATATATATATATATATATATGTGTGTGTGTGTGTGTGTGTGTGTATCTATGTATGCAAAAATACGTAAAGATAGTGGGTATTTGTTAATGAGGTGACGATTCCGTTGAACAAGACGTTATTTGAAATAAGACTGATTTTAGACTAGATTTTCTTCCATCTGAATCTTTCGTTACTTTTCAATGAATCTACTGAGATCGTCATTCAATCAGATTAGTAAAAATCACTAACTGGACAGAAAGGAAAAATTCCAAGTAAGACCCAAACTCGTATTTCTTTTGCTTCAGGAAGCTTATCTTTTCATACTATCTGTTCTAAGCTTCTTTATAATGAATTTGCTATGAGCAATTTAATTATAAATTGATTGTTTAGTTGCAACAAAAAAAAACAACTAAAATAAGTATGAAAGAGATACTGGTAAAAAATTGAGCAAGCTTGTCATGTCAGTCAATAGCGGTTTTATAACGGTTGATATGCTGGTAATAAGGGGACCTAACAACAGGAAGCAATACTACGAAAACGTTATTTAAACGATAATAAAGCGAGAGTTTTGCTCATATAACACACTTTGAATATTGTCCCAAAGGTCGAAGTTTAATGTGGGTTTTTCGGAAGTATATTAGGAAAATTTATGAAGACCCTCGGCTCTTCCGCAATTTTTGGGAGGCCTCAGGTTTTGGGTATTGATCCCACTCGAAGGACAGAGCAGTCTGGAGGAAGCACATCCTTGGGGTTGAGCTAATATTATTGGCAGAATTGCGAGATTCTCTGCCGAACAGTTATACTTAGTTCGTATAATTAGTATTTATTCGCACACCCAACTCTCCAAGGAGAGTTACTCCCTGAGCCTGTGTTAATATTATTGACAGAAGAGCAGACTCCTGAGCTGGTCAGTTATACTTTGCTCATACAACTGTAGTTGCTTTTATTTAAGTACTTCTCGGGTGAGTGCATTTGTCTTCATTTCGTGGATACCCAGCAGAGTGGTATTGGTACCATGTAACTCAGTACGAAATGCCACAAAGTCATGTCAACAGCTAAACCAGTTCCCCGGTAGGCTTATCTGGTGAATAGGGTGTCTAACGAAATAGCCTTGAGTAAAAAAAAAAAAGACCTGTTAAAAATGGATGCTTCAACAGATATCTTACACAAATGGCTAGACTGGAAACCATTATTACGTATTTAGTGCGGTGATAAGTAGACAGCTTCCTACACTGGGCTAGCATGAGGATTCCACCGATAGAGTCAACGGTTAGGGCCGACGATTCCCCCGATGGATTCAACAGCCAAGTGTTCGTCAATAAAGCTAGTCTTCAAGTCAGAGGTCATCGGCTGTGGTTGGACTTGGAAAAGGGATGAACTCTGCAATGTCTACTATTCCAGTATAATCTACGCATGAATTAATACCTCCCTGACTTTCAACACAGATATGTGCTGGGAACTGTGCAGGCGATCGGCTCGGATGCGAGCCAAAGAAAAGACACGGTCATTGTACGAATGACGATGATGATGTTACATTTAATAAAAATTCAACGTTATACTATTATTTTGATACGACGTATCGTACAATGACGGTGTGAATAAGTAAGATAAAAAGCATTTGAAATTCAGATGAAAGAAAAGATCGTCAGGTATTCATTCTGGAGAATGCTTCATCTAATATAAAATCCAAATTAATATCAATTCTCCCTAAGATATTTCCATATACTTTACTATCAAATTTGTACTTTTCTGACGCATTTATTTTCATTTTTATTCTGATTGAATCGAACTATGGAATGAGGGTTGCCAACATATGCCAATTTTGAGCTTCATCCTCTTGAAACATGTAAATATCTTAACTGGCCAATGGACGGACTTGAAAATGTTCCACAGGTTACAATTAATGCCATCTTTTCCCATGATTACGTTTGTCTTTCATTAGAGAGGAAACTTCAACCATATTGTTTTCGCCTTTTTCACTGGGAGCAAAGAAGTTTGAGAGCTTGTTCTTAACAAAAGAATTGACAGAATGAGATCCTCAGAGAAATTCCTTCAGGTGTCTAATTGATTCTAACAAGAATCGGAAACCAAAGGGAAAGTTAGATGGAAATTGTCGTTTCTCGACAGCTGCATAGAAAAGAAAGATGGTGGATCAATCGGGCATTCTACACTATTATTGGTTGGTTAACCACTTTCATCGATAATAAAATGTCGGAAACATATTCAGCAAACTAAGAGACGGAGAAAGAGTTTTGAGAGGAAACATATCTGTGTTAGTGGCGGAGGGCGTGGCATGTTTCATTTATTGTTGAGCCATTGTTAAAAAATTCAGGGTCATGTATTCTTGTGTGATGAATTAGAGGAAAACTGCACTGAGAATTAGAAAGTAACAGAAGAATGAATAAGACAGAGAGAAAGGAAATGAAACGAAGGAAAACAATGAAAAGAAGAAAATAAGAAGTGGATGAAGGAGATAATAATAAAAGAAAAAGTTAAGCGTAAAGAATAGAATAGAAAAGGGTAATGAGTAAAAAGATGAAGTATAGAAAAAAGTAAAATAAATATGAATGAGAAAGAGAGGAAAAAGCTTGATAAAAATGCAAATATGAAAGACGAAGGAGAAGAAAATGGATAAAGAGGGCAAATATAAATATGGAAAACTGAGAAATAACAAAAGAAAGATGAAAGAAAGAAAGGCAAAAAAGGAATAAAGAAATAAAGAAAAGGAAAGAAGAGGATAAAAAGTGTATAAAAATAAACAAGAATTGTAAGGAAAAAACAAGCAAACAATGGCAGATGACAGGAAAAATTACATTCGTTAATTTCACTTATACAAACGATCACATCTAGGGCCCATCGTGTGGTGTTCCCGATGGCAAATTGTCAACCCCCTTCTCTTCGTAATCTTTTGATAAGTAGTAAGTTTCCCAGAGACAGCTTCTTCCTCAGAACTATTACACTGTAGAAGACTCTCCCGAGTGGATGCTTTCCACACAACTACAATCTTGGTCAAATGATATCTATTCTACATATCCTCACAATGTTCTTTTCATATTCTCTCCTCCTACTTTTACGATATCTCGCTCAGTATGCCTCTAACGTGAATGGATAATGGGAATTGTATTCGGTGAACTAACAAAAAAAAAAGAAAGAAAGAAAGAAAGAAAGAAAGAAAAAAATGAAAGAAAGAATGATTGACACAAAGAGTGTAAATGAAAAGAAGAAATTAATAAATCAAAGAAGGGGTGACGGAAGAAGAATGAAAAGCAGAGAGAAGGAAGAAACAGAAAGAACGAAAAAAAAAAAGCAAATGAAAGAAAGGGAGAGGAAAGAAAGTCGAAAAAAAAAACGCATGCTATGTTTATGCTTGTTTAAAAGTTTCTTATAAATATTCATTTTTTTTTTCAAATATAATAGAGTATTTTCAGCTTAACTGCCACCATATTGTAAAATACCACGAAAGGTTTTAACTTCAGATTATTAATTCCGTTCTCGGTAACAAATTGTTGTCTGAAAGTTTAATTTCTTATTCGTCTTTAATCTGCAACACAATATTTTTTGACAAAATTGTTGCATATTTCTGTATTCAGACTGCCAACCCCTCAATGTAGATGATCTGAGTAAGATCTTTTTCAAAACTCTATTTACCTTACTATTTCTAATATCCTAACTAAGCTACGAGAAAAAAATGTTGTGAAGTTGAACATTGATCCTGTTTATATTTCTAGAATTAGGTATTGTAACTATTTGCATCGTTCTGCCTGTTCTCATCTTTATTACCATAAGTTTTTGGCCGTTGTACGCTCCGGCCTTCTTCAGTATCTCTCTATATTTCTGAGATGACGTAACTATTTACACTATTTACATCATTCGGACTGTTTTCCTCATCTTTATTGCCATATTCACGATGTTTTACTCTCCGACCGTCTTCAGGGTCTGTCTTTATTTCTGAGATGAGATATTGTAACTATTTACACTATTCACATCGATATGTCAGTTGTCCGAATCTTTATTGCAATATTCACAAAGTTTTGGCTGTTGTAAGCTACTGCCTTTTTCAAGATATGTGTATATTTCTGAGATGTGATATTGTAGCTATTTACAGGATTCACATAGCTTGGACTGTTGTCTTTGTTTTTATTGCCATATTTACAATATTTTGGCCGTTGTACGCTCCAAATGTCTTCATGATCTATCTATATTTCTGAGATGAGGTATTGTAACTATTTACACTATTTACAGCGCTTGGATCGTTGCTTACTGCTATATTCTCGACGTTTCGGCCGTTCTATG